TAGGCACAATTGCAACTATTTGTTTCATAATCACAGGAATATTTTACTGCAAGATATACGCAGCCGTGAAACACCACTCAAATCAAATCCATGCCCTTCAAGCAGCACAGAATGAAGACATGGTGAATGCCACAAGGGTACAAAAATCTGCACTTGCTACATTCTACGTTTATGTAGGGTTTTTAGTTTGCTATTTGCCAATGAGTTGTGCCGGTATTGCCAAGGCCATTGGTGAAACTCCCCTGTTATCTCATTTATGGTATTTCACATTCACTCTTATGTATCTCAATTCATCCCTCAATCCCTTGATCTACTGCTGGAAGATGAGATACATTCGACAAACTGTTATGGATATACTTCAAAACATCTTTCCATGAGGTCCCTAAAGAAAGGCTCTATTAACTCTCCCTGTTTTGCTTTAGTGAAAACAAAAGCTTGTTAGCAATACAGTTGGAAAAATGACGCTAAATATAAACTGGACCTGAAACCTTTCAAAACAATCTGTTTGAAAGCCAAATTTGTATTTATGACCGGGTATTTGAACATTGTATTTACGCCTGATTTGGCGCAAACTTTTTGTGAAAGATTGAAAGTTTTGTAAGACTCTGAAATGAAAACTCAGAGAGGTAGACGAGTGCATGAGTGCAAAAATGCGGGGTGGTTTCCGTCGAACAATTATTGACTTTAAATTAAAAAGAGAGCCGAATTTTTAGAATTCATTTATTGTAAATTAAGGTGGCCCGAACCTATTTATATGCCCGTTGGTTATGTTTTAAAATCGAGTTTTTCGGCAGAAAAGATTTAGCCGATTTCCATGATTTTTAGTATCCTTAATAAACAATGGTCGAACTTTAAGAAACTGTTATTTATTTTCTTGTAGGTAAAAAAAACGTTTGAGATATTAGCATGTGTTTAAAACCACATTTTTACAAAAAATGTCGATAACTTGGAAACCCTAAGACCGTCCAGATTTTCCTCTAACTTCAGCAAATAAGCCTCAGAGCTCTCTAGTTTTATATCTGCAAGTTTGAAGCAATCGTGACCGTAGAACGCTTTGCACAAATAGCTGGTCAAATTTAACCTTTAAATGCAATTCTAACACATTTGTGAAAGTTGACACGCAAATAGAGGAAAACTGCCGACGGACTATCTCCTATCTGCAAGGGTATTCTTGCCCAAAGCTTTAGTTGCAAGAAACTGGGTAATCAGAAACCTGCGGCGAATACAGTTCGCAATGCAAGTAGAACAACCGTTTATGCTGAATGCGGGAGGGATGAGCGAACATCTATTTATCAAAGTTACTGTGTATTTGCCCTTCTCTTTTCCAAAAAAACTCTCAAGAAGGCAAGATATAGCATTTACGGAAATCTCCTACCAGTTTTTAGCATCGAAGATTCCCGTCTTGAGGAGAAATAAACTGAGCCACCAACTCCAGTACTTCAATCGATCCAATTTCAGCTGCAACGAAAACCCTTGTATTAGGTAATTTATCCAAGCTTGTAAGATTTGCCATCACATTAGCACGGGCAGTTTGCCACTGGGGATAATGAAAAGAATAAGACGATTGTCATATTTTCTTCATCTTTATCCCCAAGCGGCAAATTTTCCGTGCGAATGTGATGTCAAGTCTAAAAAGCTTGAATAAATTACCAAGCACAAGGGCTTTCAGTGCACCTGAAAAATGGACGGTTAGAAGTAATGGAGTTGGTGGCTTTATTTCTCCTGAAAACGGAAACCTGCGACGCTAAAAACTCTTGAGAGTTTTTCGTAGATGCTATATTTTGCCTTGTTAGGATAGGTATCGAAAAGAGAGGGACAAATACAAAGTAAGTTTGATGAATGGAAGTTTTTTTTATCTTGGCCTGCATTCAGCATAAAGTTGTTCCTCTTGAGAGTGATTGCAAACTGTATTCGCCGTAGGTTTTTGATAAGCTAGTTTCTTGCAACTGAAGCTTTGGCCACAATACCCTTGCAGATAGGAGATAGCCCGTCGGCAGTTTTCCTCTGTTTGTGCGTCAACTTTCACAAATGTGTTAGCGTTGCATTTTAAGGTTAAATTTGACCAGCTATTTGTGCAGCGAGTCCTAAGGTTATATTGACATCAAACTTGCGGATATAAAACTAGAGAGCTCTGAGCCTTATTTGCTGAAGTTAGAGAAAAATCTGTCTTAGGGTTTCGAAATTATTGACATTTTTTGTAAAAATGTGGTTTTAAACATATGCCGATATCTCAAACGTTTTAATACCTACAAGAAAATAAATAACAGTTTCTTAAAGTTCGACCATTCTTTATTAAGGATGCCAAGAATCATAGAAATCGGCTAAATCTTTCCTGCCGAAAAACGCGTTTCAAAAACATAACCAACGCGCATATAAATAGGTTCGGGCCACCTTAAGGGTCTTAAAAAGATGTTCAGTTGACCAAAGTGCATGCCAAAAAAAAAAAACAGGTAAAGAAAAAATATATATATATATATCTGACTAACTTTCTCATTAAATGCTACAAGAGCAGCAGGAGAGGCAAAAAATGTACATGGTTTATGATAAATAATATATTTTAGTAAAAATCCAACTAGTGGTCTATTATCAATGCTGCGTTCTGATTGGTTGATCTACTAGGTTACATGCTGCGTTCTGATTGGTTGATCTAGTAGGCTATATGTTATACTGAATTCTGCAAAGCTGATCGTACCACGTGAAAAATAACTTTGCAAGACATCAACACGACACCGAAAGAACCAAAAACAGAGAGGGGTCGTAGCCGTAGACAACTGTGTCGCCCTTTTGGGGACTCGTCACTGCGGGACAACGAACAGAGAGGCTCTGCCGTAAAATTCCCGCACACTCTGTTTCAAGGTCCTGACATGAACTCGAACACTCACAGAATCACGCCGTATATGTTATGACCCACTAACAAAAAGGAATAATTGTGAAATAGCTCATTAAGAAAGTAAATAAGAGTAGAAGTTCTTGATTGACGTTTAGTTAACAGGTACAGCTAGAGAATATATTGCAATCAATAGAATTGATTCTTATCAATAAAAATTCTGTCAAAAAATTTAATCTTATAATGTGTCGTTTGTGACGACATATGCAATCACGTAATCAGATGATGCCCTCTTTTTAGCCCAAGTTTTTAACCTGTGCAGGTTTCGTTAGTCATACCTATCATGTGCAGCGTGTTAAACTTGAACACGCAACACCGGATGATTGGTTACTTCTTGTAAACCTTTTTTGGGTGGAAGAGGAAAATTTTTCCCTTATCTCCTCGCACTCCTTTAGTTGAAGGACACGTGACTGTTGAAATTATTATTCACTTGTTTTAATGAGCTATCAGTGTATTTTTTGCCCGATGGCAGCAAATGAGTTGGTTTGCTCTGGAGGGAGCCGTTTTCCCTAAGGTCTGTTTGACTTTGAACTTGCGATCCAATGTAAACCAGCTGCCAGTAACCAGTTAAATCTCGCGTCAGCAGTTTCAAATAATTTTACTCCATTTGACTCATGGATAATACAAAGACTGGGTCTTTCTATTATCCATGATTTGACAGACGAAATTCAACGGTTACAAAGCTCGTCGATCGCTTTGCCATTCCGATTAAGTTTGACAATGAACGTTAAAACTGCCAAAAATCGTGCTGCATGTTCAAAGTTTTGTTTTACTTATTACTTCTGCTTTTATTATCGTCTCGTTCCCGTAGTTGTCGTTGTCGTGGTTGCTCGACCTCGCAAAATCATTCTCAATGCGACCATTTCGTTGAAAACCGACGATTTGATGAAAAACGCGCGACAAAAACGACATCCGCAGGTACCCAAAGAGAGGCTCAAACGTCTCCCTTTAAGAACCTGTAACCCAAAAAAAACATTCTAACAAGCAGCTCTTGGGCGAGTTAATCGTCTCTATTGCGACAAAAGTATTTCGTTTTATTCTTTTTAAGCCTTTTTGCACTGTTTTCGACGACGAATAGCTGCCTTATTTCTCTGGGATGAACCGCTGTAAATGAACTCCAAATACGTCAATAACGGTCTCAAATAATGTTGTCTTTTCCTTTTTGACTGACTTATTTCAACACTTATAAAAATGGACCTACCGTTATTCTTAAAAGGAAAACATATTCACATTTTTGTATAATGAGCACATCACATTTGAATTTTCCACTCTCTGTTAGAGGAAAGGTCTAATTAATTTCAAACGAATGAGTTCATATTTCGGTCCAGCAAATACTTTCAGTGAACTAAAACTTGTTTTTACACCTTTGCAACCAAACAAAGCAACGAGAGTTAGCTTGTTCAATAATAACAGGAAGCGTAGGGGAACATATTGCCGGTGAGAGTCTGTTCCGTTAGTCAAGCGAAGAAGCACTTCCTCATAAACACCTGCGAGACTCTTTAACGCTGTATTCAACCAGAAAAACTACTTATCTTCCACCACCATCGTGTTGAAATTCATAACATTGCTCCTGAGTCTTGCTGTCTCTGATGTGGGTGTTGGCGTTCTGGTTCAACCCACTTATGTTACAGTTCTTGTAATGAACATAGACTCGACAAAACGTTGAAAATAGTGCTTTTTACATAATATTTGACGCATTCTACGTCCAGAGCTCTTTATTTGGTGTTACTTCCTTTTTTGGCGTTTTAGCGTCAACCGTTGACAGATTCTTGGCAATCCATCTTGTAGAGTCTCTTGTCCTTGAACACTGAGTGTTCGCCCAACAACGACATCACTCAAGTCAGACCCAAAATTCACGGTTTACCAGTGCCTTGCTTGGTTTGAAATGGATACGGATTCTTGGCTTTATCTCAATTTAATAGCCATCAGAGGAAGAATAGTGGAACACTGAGAGCTTCTTAGGACTGTGCAATTATTCTAGCAACGAATCATTTTGAGTGTCAGTCTCACTTGAAAGAGAAAAAACTGAAAGTTTTCGAGAAGGCTGTCGCCAAACATGAATCAAAAGTTCTCTCTTTAGTACAGTTGCCATCGAGCAAAGGAAGAATGCAGAATGACGGAAGCTGAAGGTTTTCCAGAAGGTTTGCACCCGACTCTTGTCGCTAACTGCGCCGTCAACACTTTTTTGTCTTTCACTGTCATCGTATTGAATGTCATAACAATACAAGCGCTCCGAAAAACGGCGTCGTTGCCAAAGACTTTAAAAACATTGCTCCTGAGTCTGGCTGTTTCTGATCTTGGTGTTGGTTTGCTTGCCCAACCTCTCTATAGAGCAACTCTTGTAATAAAAATCGATCAAAGTACGCTATATGGATGCTGCGTTCAATGTATTTCACGTAGTCTTCGACTTCTTGGATATGAATTTTCGTCTGCTTCATTTTTTGGCATGTTCGCTTTAACTGTTGACAGATTCTTAGCAATTCATCTTCATCTCAGATACCAGGAAGTTGTGACATACAAGCGAATTGTTGCCTTAGTGATCACAATATGGGTGCTCAGTTCAGCTCTTTCGGTACTTGCTTTGAACGAAAAATTAGAGATAGTTCTCTCTTCTGTTATTGGAATCATTGGGTCTGTTTGTCTAATAATTGCAGGAGTTCTTTGCTGCAAAATGCACGCAGTTGTTCGACGCCATAGAAATGAAATTAATCGCGCCCTGCAAGTACAACAAGTAGCACAGAATGGAAAACTAGTAAATGACGCAAAGCTGAAAAAAACTGCACTTGCTACATTTTATGTCTAGATCGTGTTTTTGGGATGTTATGTGCCATACTTTTGCGTGAGAGCTGCTTCTATAATCTCTGGTGAGTCTGTGTTGCGACAGCATCTGTTTTATTATTTTTTGACACTGATGTATCTGAATTCATCTCTCAATCCTTTGATCTACTGTTGGAAGATGCGAAACATTCGACAAGCTGTGATTGGTGTACTTCGTAACATCTTTCAAAGTAATTAAGGCTCGTGGTTCCACTTGAATTTTGAACATTTTACGGTGTCATTTCTATGGTCTTTAAGAGTGTAGACCATGGAAAATTGTGGTCGATTTATTAAATAGATCTCTAAGTCATTGAGAAAGCCAATACTTACCACCTTACTATCAAATTTACCGCTGAAGTATCAGAAATAGAAACTACACTCTTGGACACAACAGTGTACAAGGGAGAACCATTCGAGAAAGAAAGAATCCTCGATGTGCGTACACATTTTAAGCCTACTGAATCATTTCTGTACACATAGTTCAACAGCTGTCACCCAGCGGGCGTTAAAAAGGTTTTGTCAAAGGAGAATCTCTACAGGCTTCTCAGAACAAACTATTCAAAAGCTATGTTTGGGGAGAACGTTAGAAAATTTGAAGCACGCCTAATTCTAGAGGCTACCCGGAACAAAAGATGGATAATATCGTCTCAGAAAGTAAACATGGGGACAGGAAGGAATAAGCTCTCAAACAAACATTGGGAACGCACATTCCAAAAAGATTCTACCCTTTGTCACACAATTTTAACCGTCTATACCAAACTTGAGAAACATGCTTATGGACAAATGGCATTTCATACAAAACCAGCTGTTAGACCCGTTGCTCAGAGAGATATTCAGGGAGCCTCCCTTGATCTCTGATAGAAAAGGAAAATCGCTAAAAGGCATGCTTGTTAAAGCCATAACTTTAAAAAGACTTTGAAAGACACAATAGGCACATCGCAGGGTCGAGTCGTGCAGGTCTTTCTACCCATTTTTAACACGTCATTTTATTTAAAACGTGTTCTATAATAATAATAATAATAATAATAATAATAATAATAATAATAATAATAATAATAATAATAATAATAATAATAATAATAATAATAATCGATCTTTGCTTTAGTTGGTTAACTTAATGCATGGTAAAGAAAGGCACTTCCATCAAATCAGCTACAGTTTCTTTATTGGTCGATAATTAAGACCAAGACGGCAAAGAAGGGTCCGTTCGACCGACCTTATTCTAGAAATAGGTCCAACAAAATTAATGTATTCGTGCGGGGACCAGCTAGTTTGTTTATTTTGTACAATACAGCGTCAACAATTGCAAACGAGGTTGTTGGCAAGAGAATGCTGTTTTTATTTCTTATTGCGGAGAAACCTTGGGGAAAAGTAGTCGTACGAAGTGCCTTGATCGTGTTTTTGAGAATAACAGATTTGATGAGCGCGGGTAAAAATTGTTCGCGGATTACAGGTTACTCTAAGTGAGAGTCAGTACATACGGACACTGAGGTTATGATGTTATATAATGGCATATTTTAAACATTCTCATCATTTGCAACTTATTTAGATATATTAGACAACTGACTTCATAAATAACAACCTATTACGCCTTTGTAATCATTCACAAACCCTTTTCCCCTGAAATGAACAATTTTGTTTTTTTCCCTTTCAGCCTTGTTACATTTTTGATAAACACATAGCCTTGCGTATACCACTATTGCACTGTGAACTACTGTGATTAAACATCTATCAGTTGCCTCAGTAGTTCTAATAACTTTCTTCCGTTCCACCTGGCAAACTTAAATCGTCCCTTTTTGGGGAAACGGCCAGTGTCGCACTGACTTGGTGGATCAGTTTCTTAGCTGGTTCAGCCGCAATCGCATGACATGCAATCCAACAAAATGCAAGGAGATTATTTTCCGTAAGAAAGGTTTCAGTCAGGTCATCGCGCCAGTTAGTAATATACCCCAGTGCGCAGAGTTATCCATATTAGGTGTTACTTTCCAACAAAATTGTAAATACAGTAGTCACGTGCGCGCGAAGGTAATTAAGGCGAACAAGTCATTATTCTTTTTAGGATCTTTACGTAAGGAAGGAATGTCCCAGGAGGAAGTAGATCACCTTTTTAACGCAATAGTTTTACCAAATTTTTCTTGCGCTCTGCCTGTTTATGGTGCCTCAGATTCCACCTTTCTGTAATTGCTGGGAATTAAGTAAGCTTCATTGTGGTGGGAATTTTTTTTGGAAAGCTTTCAGGATCTTAGGGTTAGATGAAACAAGAGGTAGTTGAGTAGTGGGACCAGATTTTCATGGAAATTTTCAGGTTAATGTTACACTTTTTTTGCCTTTTCTTCCGGTGTCCTTGACTGAATTGTGCTCATTCTGGTATGATCTGAAAGATCTCTTCACTCTACCCAAGTAAGCAGGCAACGTTGTCTTTGACTGTTAAAACTGATGACGTCACAAGCGGTAGAAGGGAGGTGAATTCGAACGGGCGGTTACGTGTGGTTCAGTGGCCAATAGGTTAAAAAAACACCAGGGTCCGGTTCCTGAAAGACCGATTAGCGCTAATCTGGGATTAACATTTTGTTCCATTTTTTTGTATTTATACCTTCCTATACGATGCTTAGAGTAAAAATCTTGTGTTATCAGTACCGTATCTCAGTAAAGGTAAGTAAAGGCTTAACAGTATTTTGTAAACTTGACTTACATGATCTTAGGGGCTGTTTACATGAGGGAGGAAGATCCTTATAGAAAGCGGAACAACTTTACGTTGAGTTTGCATGCGGAAATTTCGGTCCGTATGGTGCCCAAATATAGACGGTTCGAGAAGGAATTAAAAATGGCGGGAGACAAAAACAAACACGCAGCTGCAGTTTGGGCCCTTCCGCTCTCTTTACGGGCGTTAATAATTACCTTTCTGCAGAATTATGACAACAATACGCTCGTCGTAACGTTAAACGAAATGGCCTGTTTTGTGCCTAGTACTAGGATCTTGCTTGTGACTCACAAGCGGGTTGTTCCTGTAGTGAGCTCAGTGTGGGTTTTAAGTGCCTTAATTGCCTTGCTTACTTTGAAATGGATACAGGTTTTCGGCTTTATCTTCGCAACCATTAATGTTGCGTGTTACATAACTACAGGCCTTTTTTATTGCAAGATATACGCTGTCATTCGGCACCACGTAAACCAGATAAACAATCAACAACAATCAACAATCAGCACAGAATGAAGACATGGTGAATGCTGCAAGGCTGAGAAAAACTGCAGTTGCTACATTTTATGTGTATTTGGTGTTTTTAGTTTGCTATTTACCAGCATTTTGTGCTGGTGTTGCAAGAATACATGGTGAAACTTCCTTGTTATCACTTTTATCGGGGTTTAGTCATACCTTTGTGTATCTAAATTCATCTCTCAATCCGCTGATCTACTGTTGGAAGATGAGAAATATTCGTCAAACTGTCGAGAACACAATACAAGGCATCTTTCCCTGTGGTACCTGAATAGAAACTATATTTCAGAACAATTCTGCTTTTTATCTCGGAGGAAAACAAAACCTTTATCAACGCAATAAAGTTTTTCAAAACATGATGTACTAAAACCTGTGATGCTATCTGTACGGGATTATTTTTTTCTGCTACAGACCTTGACTTTTAAAGATTATTTAAAAAACTGTTTATTGAAATTCATGAAACCAAGAAAGAGTTGAAAAATGTCAGTGGAATTCAGACAAGTGTGTAAATGAAAGTGAATTACGATTTGATAAACACAGCGCCGTGCAATGAGTTAGAAATGAGTGTAAATAGTATATAAAAAAACAAAAGTCCTCCAGTAAAGGCGTTTTTTGGCCTTCTGCAATATAGGTCTTAACATATCTTAATATAGGTTTTAACCATAACAGGCAGGCAATCCACCCCCCCCCCCCCCCCCCCCCACCAA